GAGCTTTCGGTTGCGTTCTGGGGCAGCATGATGAAACGGGGAGGAAGGAGCAGGCCATCTATTATCTCAGTAAGAAGTTCACCTCGTACGAGGCCTGGTATTCTCTGTTAGAGCACACCTGTTATGCTTTGACTTGGGTAGCTCAGAAGTTGAGGCATTACTTTTGCGCCTATACTACATAACTCATATCAGGGATGGACCCTTTGAAGTACATCTTTCAGAAGCCCATGCCCACCGGCAAGCTAGCCAAGTGGCAAATCCTGTTGAGTGAGTTCAACATTGTTTACGTAACTCAGAAAGCGGTCAAGGGACAAGCACTAGCAGACCACCTCGCCAAGAATCCCATGGATGGAGAATACGAACCCCTGAAAACGTATTTTCCTGATGAAGAGGTATCATTCATAGGAGAGGATATTGCAGAATCCTATGACGGTTGGAGAATGATTTTCGATGGAGCAGCAAATTTCAAAGGAGTTGGCATAGGAGCAGTCCTAGTATCAGAAACAGGTCAGCATTATCCGGTGTCCACCAAATCAGGTTCCCGTGCACCAACAATATGGCCGAATACGAAGCTTGCATCCTAGGGCTCAAAATGGCCATTGACATGAAAATTCAAGAGCTGCTAGTAATTAGAGATTCGGACTCGCTCATACGTCAGGTGCGTGAAGAATGGGCAACCAAGAACTCCAAGATACTCTTGTATCTGCATCATGTACAGGAATTGAGAAAAAGGTTCGTGAAGACGGAGTTCCAACATGTTCCTAGAGTCCAGAATGAGTTCGCCGATGCATTGGCTACCCTGTCATCTATGATATAGCATCCAGACAAGAATCTCATTTATCCCATTTCGGTGAAAATTCATAATCAGCCATCTTACTATGCCCATGTTGAAGAGGAAGCAGACGGAAAGCCTTGGTTTCATGATATCAAGGAATATTTGGCGAAAAGGGAGTACCTGCAGCTTGCCAATCATACTCAGAAACGCACACTTCGGAGATTGTCCAACAACTTCTTTCACAGCGGAGGAATCCTATATAGGAGGACTCTAGATTTGGGTTTACTAAGGTGTGTCGACGCAAAGGAAGCATCTAGGCTACTAGAAGGAATTCATGCTGGGACATGCGGTCCACACATGAACGGTTTTGTCTTAGCAAAGAAGATACTCGGGGCTGGTTACTTTTGGATGACTATGGAAACACACAGCATCTAGTTTGTCCGGAAATGCCATCGCTGCCAGATTCATGCAGACATGATAAAGGTACCTCCAAGCGAGCTCAACACAACAAGCTCACCATGGCCGTTCGCCGCCTGGGGAATGGACGTCATTGGACCAATCGAGCCTGCCGCTTCCAACGGACACAGGTTTATCCTAGTGGCAATTGACTATTTCACCAAGTGGGTCGAAGCAGCCTCTTATAGAGCAGTGACTAAGAAAGTCATGGCAGACTTTGTCCGCGGCCGCTTTGTTTGTCGATTCGGGATTCCAGAGTCAATTGTTACTGATAATGGCTCCAACCTCAACAGTGACTTGATGAAAGCTATGTGTGAAACCTTCAAGATCAAACACAAGAATTCCACAGCCTATAAGCCGCAAATGAATTGAGCTATAGAGGCCGCCAACAAGAATATCAAGAAGATATTGAGGAAAATGATAGATAAGCATAAACAGTGGCACGAGAAGCTATCATTTGCTCTATTGGGATATCGCACCACAGTTCGCACATCAACCAGGGCAACCCTCTATATGTTGGTTTACGGTACGGAGGCCGTTATTCCCGCTGAGGTAGAAATTCCTTCCCTAAGGATCATACAGGAAGCTGAACTCGACGACGCAGAGTGGGTGAAAAGTCGTTATGAACAATTAGCCCTTATAGACGGAAAGAGAATGAATGCAGTCTGCCATGGTCAGCTCTATCAGAACCGAATGTCCAGAGCCTTCAACAAGAGAGTCAAACCAAGACAATTCACACCGGGGCAGCTGGTGTTAAAGAAAATTTTTCCACATCAAGATGAGGCCAAGGGGAAGTTCTCTCCCAATTGGCAGGGCCCATACATGGTCCACCGGTTTCTGATAGGAGGAGCCCTCATACTTGCAGAAATGGACAGAGAAGTCTGGCCAAAGCCGATCAATTCAGATGCAGTCAAGCGTTACTATGAGTGATCTTTATATTTTCCCTATATGATGTAATTTAACTATGCCTGACATGATTCCTGTTTAAGAGGGGATACGTAGGTAGCCCTATGGGTTCGGTCTCAATTTAATAAAATTTTCATTTTCCCCCGAAATTGGACACTAGGGCAGAATTTTGAGGAGGACCCTCAAAATTCCGAAGTAATTTCAGCCGATCGCCGCACGAGCAGCAGTCAAAAACGTTAACCCATCAAACTGGGGCAGAATTTTGAGGAGGACCCTCAAAATTCCATAGCAGGAGGGGTTGCAATGTCCTAGATTACGTCACAGTCGGCGGTTCATCTAAAAAACTATTTTAATTTTAAATATTTATGTCATACTTTTACAAAAATCATGTGTGTTTATTACTAAAACTGCTTCGTTTAGCAACGCTACCCCAATAATACAGGCGATATCGCAAGATCAAATCCAAACGAGTCAAGCAAAGCCAGCTGGGATACAAACTAACCTTCCCCTTTACAAAACTCACGATTTTTCTTTGGATGCAGGCACTAGGGTTACAAAATCATTGAACATACTATACACTCACA